ACGGTTCAAGGTCCAAAAGACAGTTTCAGTGCAAATTGTTCAAAGGGCTTTAAACTTATCAAGCGAAACGATCACTCATTTATAAAAAATAAATAAATAAAATAACAAAGTTTAAATTTTATAAGGTCAAATGCTCGCCTTGCTCTGTTGATGCACGTTTATGACTCTCCTGTTCGAACTCGTTCATCAAAATAAACGAATTTTTTTCGCGTCATTTGGTTCATTCAACGAACGTAATGAACGAATTGACTTGGAAAAAGATTCGTTTATTAGTGAACCTTTTTTTCTAAGAGTGCAGATACCTTTGACTTTATGACATTTTTTGAAAACTGTCTCCACTGATAAATAACACCCAGGCTAATTTGGAAATGAGGTCCGATGTCCAAAATCCTGAACCACCCCTTTAAGTTATTTTTTTTACAGTGCAATTCCATATTAAATAGAACGGTTGGCAAACCTACTGTGCCTCAACCACCTTTCTTAGCAAATATAATTTTAAATTTAGCCTATTATTTGCTCAAATTGGATTACCTACATGTGCAGCTTCTTAACATTTATTCAGCTCAGAGACAGGAGGTGAAAATAGTCTATTTTGGCTTAAAATGCACATTTATATAACATTAGTGTTAATTCATGTGTGTTGTACTGGATATATAAACAAAAACACAGTTTATATTTTATTTTTTATTATATTATTATATTTTTTTCATATATATATTAAACATTTAAAACATGACAAAAATGTATGAATATGCTGCATAAATTGCACAATTTCTTGACACTGCCTGGTTACGAATCCTCCTTGACTTTGGTTGCCAAGCGGGGCATTTTGTGTGGAGGTGAGCGAGCGGTCCACATCTGCTTTATCCTGTTGAAGGAACACACATATCATGTCACACTGACCAGATTTAATGAGTGATTCTTATGAGTGAAATCTTAATACATGTTTCCTTCGACAATTTCAATATGAGGCTTCTATAAACTGAATATGATTCTAGTCATGTATTAAATTATTAAAGTGTTTACATAAATCTGAAAAAAGAAGGGAACTTACCTCCGGTTCATCTGAGACCTGGGATGAATGCTGATCTGGTGCTGGTGTGAAGTCTTTATCCGATCCGTGCTCCTCGGTTTACGATCCTTCTTGTTAATATTCACACAGATTTTATTTCTGGGAGCAGGCTGACACACACCTACATTGCCCTGTTGAAGAAACAAATATAATCATGTATTATGTTGGGCAGGTTGTTAGACTAAATCGAAACTAAAGTCTAAAATAAAACTAAACATCTTTCTAAAGTTTTTAAATAATATATATATGTATATAAGATAAGTAAAATCAAGAGATGGAAGGGACTTACAGATGCTCCCTTTGGGATATTCTGCTCCCTCTGCTTCCGCCACTGCTGTTTAGGGATCCTGACTGAGGCTTTCTCCCAGTTCCAAGGATCCCACCTTTTGGGATCCTTGGGGCCATATCTTCTCCCTTCGGAGCTCCAGAGGGCACTATCGCTTCCTGTGGATGCGCTTGAGACGATGCTTGAGGCCTCCTCTGCAGCAGCTCCTGTCTCAGAGGCTCTGGGATCTTAAGTCTTGGCCTCTTTGTGTTGTCATGCAGCGTTCCCTGAGAAGAAGCTTGAGGCTTCAGCTGCAGTGGCTCTCGTCTCGGTGGCTCAGGGATCTCTAGTTTTTCCCTCTTTGAGGTCTTGTAGGGAATGGGTGCTCCTTGACGAGGAGAAGCTTGAGGCCTCCTCTGCAGCAGCTCTCCTCTCAGAGGCTTGGGTATCTTAAGTCTTGGCCTCTTTGTTGTGTTGTCAGGCAGCTCCCTTCTCACAGGCTTTGCAGGCACAGATGGTATCGGAGACTTGGACACAGGTGGTTGTGGTGGAGACCCAGTGGGCACAGGTGATTTCTGTGGGGACTCAACAGCCGTTGGTGCTTTCTGCATGTGTAAATTCTTTTTTTGTGTGAAAAATCTAAATGCAAAAAAGTGTCTCAACTTTACTTAGTCTACCCTACAGTAGCCACATTTGTCTGACTCACTTGGACATGTACAGTACACGTACGTCCGCAAGATGTCTGTTACTTTAACTGGAATGCATCTGCTGTTTATTGACATCTGAAACATCTTTAAGATGTCAGTTTTACATACAGTTAAAATCATAAACAACTTAATTTTCCAAACGTCTATTTGACATCTGACAGGAAACGTCTTATAGATGTAATCGTAGCTGCAAACACTCTAAAAAAAATAAGTTTTCCAGATAAATGTGCGGTAAACTCGCACATCTATCAAATATAGACGTCTCAGTGATGGAGGCTATCTGCTATCAGGGTACAATCACAGATAATTCGAGTTGATGATACAAAGAATTCCATTACAACCTTGATCACTAGCTGGGGATAGATGTCACCATGTAAGGTGATTTGTTGTAGTATTCTCCACACTATCTAATTGAATGAAAGAACTTTATTGAAGAACAAAGAATAATCACTTTTGAATAAAGTTAAATATTTTAAATTACTATATATATATATATATATATATATATATATATATATGGTATTTCTTTTAGGACTTTAAACTGTTTTATATCACAAATATGACATGAATACACACAAACACGGCAGTGTTTTTGTGTTCACTTTAATGTTGTTAAAGGTAATGTGTCCCTTATCCATTAGGTGGCAACCAAGTGCTTGCTAAGAGTTAACTTAAGTTGCAGTGGTCGAAGGATTGACGCAAATCTGCCAGTTTCTGAGTAGGTTTTTAATTTTTTTTTATTATAGATTCATATATCAAACATACAAGTAAAAACAAATCCAAAAAAAAAAAAAATTACAACATAAAAAAATAAATAAAAAGGAAAATAGACCAAGAGACTTAGTTGTAGACACTAGGGAATGAGTTTGCGTATAGTATTCCAAAATAAGGGCTATTTTTGATTGTTTTGCAACATTTCAGGGAATGTTTATACAGAATTATAGAAAAGGCATAAAAGACACGGGATGCTTTAAGAAATCCACATTTGTGTAAAAAATATTTTGCCATTTTAGGCCTAAAATCAGATTATTCACTCCAAACTCAGTTGTTCTGTTCTCCAATTGAAGTCCAAATTTGACGAATTCATATGTTAAAATTGAAATATTTTGTGTAACTTACAGATCCAGAACTGGAAAGCATCCCAGAAGGTCTGGGTTACACTAGAAGAGATGTTCTGCCGTTTCAATGTCAGAATTACAGAAAGTACAACATTCACATCCATATTAAATCTTTTATGTAAGTTGTTACATGGATAAATCTCATTCATCGTTTTGAAGTGAACTTCTTTTACCTTTAGTGATATAAGAAAAGAAAGGTAATTGTAAATCTTCACTAAACAATTGCTGGTTATTTTCTGGAAGATATGTTTTCTCCTGAATGGTGAAGGGAAGCAGATTGAAGTGAGAACATTTCTAAAAAATGTATTTTTACCACAGAGTATGTTAGCATGCCTTTTACTAAAGTCATCAGAACTGCATATCGAACTATATTTCCTGATGACATCATATGTTAAAGGGTTAGTTCACCCAAAAATGAAAATTAAGTCATTAATTAGTCACCCCCATGCTGTACCAACCCCGTAAGACCTTCGTTCATCTTCGGAACACAAATAAAGATATTTTTGATTGAATCTGAGAGCTGGATCAGTCCTAGATAGACTGCCTAAGGGACTGGCTCTTGACGGCCCATAAAGTCATTAAAGAAAAGGTTTAAATATTCCATGTGCCTACAGCGGCTCAATTATAAGTTGATCAAGCGACGAGACTACTTTTTGTGCGAAAAAAAACATAAATAATGACTTAATTCGACTATTCTATTACTTCCTTATTGGGCGCATGCGCGAGAACTGAGATGAGGACGTTCTCCTTCGTCTACTTCTTGTTACCGGCTGCTCACCGCTTAGGAGTTTTACCGCCACCTACCGTATAAAATGATGATCCATATATAAGGCGCTCCGGATTATAAGGAACACTGTCGTTTTTTGAGTTTTTTAAGTGCACCTTATAGTGCAGAAAATACGCTAATTGAAAAGCGTATGTACAGCGCGCATCTTCCTCTGCTTGTAAACAGAAAGTTTTGCGCTTCCAGCTATATCAGCACATCATCTTATACGGTAGGGGGCGGTAAAACTCCTAAGCGGTGAGCAGCCGGTAACAAAAAGTAGTCGAAGGAGAACGTCCTCGTCTCAGTTCTCGCACATGCGCCCATAAGTAATAGAATAGTCGAATTAAGTCGTTATTTATGTTTTTTTCGCACAAAAAGTAGTCTCGTCGCTTGATAAACTTATTTTTGTTTATGCTCTCAGATTCAATCAAAAATATATTTATTTGTGTTCCGAAGATGAACGAAGGTCTTACGGGGTTGGAACAGCATGGGTGTGAGTAATTAATGACTTCATTTTCATTTTTGGGTGAACTAACCCTTTAAGATACTATATTTGTGCCAGCACTGTACACTATCCCTACTCCTATGCTGTCATCCTTATTGCTTTTTATGTCATGATGTTGATGATATTAATTAGCAGAACACAAGATGTAATATCCATCTATAGTGCTAGATGAATAGATGGATATTACATTTTGTGTACTGACAGGGATGACAGCAGAAAATAGAAAATACTCACAAAAGAAGAACATGGATGATGGTGTTCTGAACAGGCAGCAAAAGGTATAACAAAATGAAGTGGGGCAGGGGATATGTACAGTATATCCAATGAAGTTTAATGCATGCACTGGAGTCATGGCATTCTTTCCTTTTTTAGAAATGTGAGTCAAGTATATTTATAGCGCTTTTCACAATATAGATGGCATCAAAGCAGCTTCACAGTATCAATCAAAACATAATAACAATGTTCGTTTCTTAGTGGAAAAAACATCCACGTGAGTATTATTGGGGAGGTGCGGCAGATTTAGTGCTGAGTATATAACATTTAGGGCTCCAATCCCTATCACTCTACAGCAGTCGAACATTTGCAGAAGACTCAATTTTGTCCATTCACTTACTGTGATTACACCACCATGGCTTCACAAAAGCAAGTGGCCAAAATAGAAGGAAAGCCAGCCCCAGCTCCAGAGGAAGAACCAGCATCAGCAGCACTGGAAACGGTTGCTTCTGCCCCAACTGCAACACCAGAGTCAGCTACAAAAGAATCCGAAAAAGCCAGCACTGCACCTGGGCCAGCCCCAGTCGAAGATCCAGCCAAAGCACAAGCATCTCTTCCTAATCCAGCTTTCAAAAACGATCCTGCTGCTGCAGTAAGTCTCTCTTTTTTTCGGATAATATTGTATTATGCTATTTCATTTGCCTGATGGCCTGAATTGATGTGTCCACAATAATGGTTGACGTCTACATTTAAATGCACACTTTTCTTTTTAAGAATAAAGACTAAATGATTAAGATCACTTTATGGACAAGCATTTGGGTAATTAAAAGTAGTGTTAATCAATTTCAAATGAAGCACAATGACAAAAATATTTTAAAACAAAAGGCTGTAATCTGTTTAAAATAGGGGTATATTGATATTCTGTCTATATAAATAAATATATTCTCTAAAACATAAAGTTATGCTGCACTCAGAGAGTAAGTTCAGCCAAAAATGAAAATTCTACCATTAATTACCTACCCTCATGTTGTTCCAAACCAGTAAGACTTAAACCCATAAGAACACAAATGAAGATATTTTTAATGAAATCTGAGATATTTTTTTTCCCATCTATCGACAGCTACGCAACTACCAATGACGCTTTAAAAAGTTCATAAAGAGATTTTAAAATGAGACTTTATATGATGAACATATTTAACTATAAGCCTTTATTCCCATTTAAACTTTGGTCAGCAAACATAAATAGAAGCTTAACCGTACCCGCTTGATATTAAAATACTCATTTATGTAGAAAAGAGAGGGCCCTGTCTTGCACCTGGCGCAAATGACTTCGCTTACACAAAGCTTACACATTTACCCAAATTATTACATGCATGTTTAACCGTAACTAATGTCACTTCTCTTTCTTTTACGGCCCTGATGAGAACATCAATCTCCTCGGCTGTGAACCTATGGTGAAGCGCGCCTGGTAATGTGCCGTTAAAATAGAATTGCCTTTAAACTTGCGTCGGGCGCAAGAGTAATTTATCCCGCTGGTTAAATAGCAATACCCAGGACCCGCCCACAAAGTTACTTGTGCTTCATGCTTGATACTTGCGTTTCAGATCGTTAAAGCAGCACTATGCAGATTTTTTGCAGCAACTGAATAGCTTCGGAGTTATTGCAATGGTTATATGACTACTTTCGGGTTGAATGTTGGGCGTCTCGCTCCCCCTGTTGCCTGTGAGGGGAAAAAACACACTTGCAACTTTGAGCCGGCAACATTACATCCTGAAAAACTTTTTGTTTCTTTTTCATTTCTTTTCGACTGAAGAAAGAATGACATTGATATCTTGGATGACATGGGGGTGAGTAAATTATGAGCAAAAGGTTTTTTTTAAAGTGAACTACTCCTTTAAGGCACAGCAATATTATGTACAGCTAGATAAGTAAAAGCTGAGCACAAGAACTAACTCATGCACACCTTAATCACTCTCTTCAAGTTAGTACTGATGATCTTTAAAATGGTGGAAAGTAAATAAATATCCAATGTTGGTCTATAAATATTCAATACATTTATAAAAACCCAGGCCAATAACTAATATGGTGCAATACACTTATCTCATTTAAAAGGTCATAAATATTAATTAATACATCTTTAATTAATTCCATGTTTTCGTTGCTGGAACACTTTTTTCGTTTTTTAAAAGCAGTTGTAATTGCTGGACATGACCTGTACAATATACACTTACAGGGGTTGGACAATGAAACTGAAACACTGGCCAATGTTGGAGGTTTCACATCTACGTATATGCCTGGCGGCCAATCTTCAGAGTGAAGCACGGGTGGATCAGTGATGGTTTGAGCTCCAATATCATGACAATCCTGATTGTATTTGATGGACACGACACTGCCGAGGACTACCAAACCCTTCTGGAGGATCATGAGCACCTGATGCTCAAACCGTCTATCAGATCATGCACCAACACACACAGCAAGACTTGTGACAGAAGGGTTTGATGAAGATGAAAGTGACGTTGAACATCTCCCATGGTCTGACAGTCACCAGATCTGAATATTATTGAGGTGTTTTGGAGGAGCGAGTCCACCAGCATCATATAGTGACATGGACACTGTTCTGGAAGAGGAACGGTTCATAATCCCTCTGGTCACTGTGAAGGACTTCTATCTGTCAATTGGTGCTGTATTTGGATGCAAAATGAGGCCCTCACCATTCTAACAAATTATTGTGTAGTAAAACCAGGTGTTTCAGTTTTTTTGTCCAACCCCTGTATATACAATATATGCTTCATGGTAGGATTCCAGTAGATGTTCTTTACATGGATCTACATACACTCGCTGCAGGGGTTGTTCCACTCTTCCTAATACACTTCCTAAATTAGACTCCCTAGGGAGACAGATATGGATTATGTGATTTTATAAACAGGCTGTGAAATTTGAGGGGAGATTATTCTTGGTGCCAGGAAAAAAATGTCAAAACAACTGCCAGAGTTTTAACTCACTGTATGTGTCAGTGTCTGGTTGTCACCCTGTCTGTTTTAGTGTTTGTTTAATGTCCCCACACTTTGGATCTCTTTTTGTGTTTCTTGGTCTATGTATGTTCTTCTCTTTTGGTTTGCTTACATGGTATTTGACCCCTGCCTGGACTGATTGCGATTACGGATTACCCAATAAATACTTCTGCAATTGGATCTATTGTCTCTCTCATGTGTGGGTCGTGACAGAAGGACTCTGTCACAAATGTATAGATCCTGAGGTTCGGGATTCCGTAACCCTGCTCTTATGAATATGGGTGGAAGGGGTTCATGAAGGGGAGGTTCGCAGATCGGGGAGGAAGCACCCCGGTTAAACATCTTTCGATGTTTTTCTTTATGGGCCCATAGATTAGCAATTAATTTATTTGCAATGTCTATTACTGATGATGCACATAAAAACCTAAATAAAATTAAAAAAAACTAAAAGAAAATCTCTTGTTCTGTGTTTCAGGGTAATTTCACTGCTGAACAACTTGAAGGTAAGGAACATCCTAAAAAGGTCATCTGATCAACTTCTGAACTAATTTGTTGTTATTTTGCATTTATACAGAGTTCAAGGAAGCATTCCTGTTGTTTGCCAGGACTCCCTCGGGGGAGATGAAGATATCACTAGCTCAGTGTGGGGATGTGATGAGAGCTTTGGGCCAGAACCCAACTAATGCTGAAGTCTTGAATGTTCTAGGGAAACCAAAGCCTGAAGGTAGACCCACAATGGAAAAAATACAGCATGACTTTTCAGGGCATTGTACAAGGTGCATGTCAAGCTTCTCTGCATACCATGGGATCGTTCATGAGCAAACAAAGGGAAAGACCTAACACACTTCTGTCACAGAGATTACTGAGGTGTTGTCGTCAAGTCATTCTCTGAATACTGGGATCCTCCTTGTCATAATGGCTTACTAAAAGTCAAAATACCAATCCAACCACAGGAATGTAATATTTTACCTTAACACAAAAGAGAAAGAGGTGACAAAGGACTAATATAACATTAACTTTTACAATTATCAGTCCCTCCAGGATTTCACGATTTTTTTGTGTGATTTTTGCGATCAAAATGACAGATTTTGTGGTGGTAATTTCCAAAAATTTGTGAAAAAATTTGCGATTTATATATAACATTTACCATAATAGTATTCAGTCCTTCCAGAAAAACGCTGAGTTTTTTGTGATTGTTGCGGGCAAAAATTGATTGATTAGCCTGCTCGGCCCGGTTTCTTTAAAAATGCGATGGAATATGCGGGATATTTATGCAATTTTATGCGATGAAATTGCAGGAATTTGCAAAAATTGAGAGAACTTGCAAAAATTGCGGTTTGATGAAAAAGATTTCTCTTTTTCAGTGATTCCCCCAACATCCTGTTCTCACTAGGCTAATGTAAGAGTCATTTCTTATTACTTCCTTTGATAAGCAAGCATACTACATCATAGAAAGTGCTGGGAATATTTAATTTCTCATCTTGTTTTATTTCAGACTATAACGAGTGTAAATAAGGTGTGGCCCCTTTAAGAGCTGCGCGCTCCCTGTTGAACTCTCTGCAGTGTTAACTTATATGTGCGCCTCAAACGCCCCATGTGTGCGGGTAATTTCTGTTTGATGCTACTTCTTTTATCTTATGTTGTTTATTAAGTAACGATGTGACGGTAGAACGTGTGACAGACAGTTATACGAGTTCGATTTGTGAGATGTCAATCGCCTCCGTGAGTCTGTCCGGCGTCGCGTAATTGCGTCACTTCATAACGTTCCCATGGAAACAGAGGGAAATGGCTGCTCTTGTGTGAAGCAAACGGAACATTTTTTTAACTTTCTACTAAAATACACGTGACTTTTTTTTGCAACGAAAATGCGAGGATTATGAAATTATGCAAACCCCGCATATTTTGTAAGGAAATCGGCAATTTATGCGGCGAAAGTGCGGCGTATTTGAAAAAATGCGGCCCCCGCATAAATATGCGGACTTTGGCTGATTTTGCATTGATTTCAGCGATCGCATAATCGCGTTTTTCTGGAGGGACTGAATTATGCTATTGAAGCTATTAAAGGAATATGGTCACACTCATTGTCTTGTTGTTTCAGACCTTTGTGACTTTCCTTCTTCTGTGGAACCCAAAGGATTATATTTTATTTATGTATTTATTGGTAAACAAATACAATAAAAGTAAATGGGATCTAATGTTTGGATTTTTTGTGAACTATCCAATAAACGTTTTTTTTTTTTTTTTTTTTTTTTTTCTCTCTCAGATTGTCAAATAAAATCTAAGGAATCTACTAATTGCTTTATATAAATTGTGTTGTTCAGAGATGGAAACCAAAATGATCGACTTTGAGACTTTCCTGCCTATGTTTCAACAAGTTTCAAAGTCTACGGAAAGGGGTACATTTGAAGATTTTATTGAGGGCCTTCGGGTCTTTGACAAAGAAGGCAATGGTACAGTCATGGGGGCTGAACTCCGCCATGTGCTTGCTACTTTGGGTATGATGTTACGAAGGAAAAATATAACAAATTCATATATTTGACCAAATAATAATATTATATATAATATAATATAATAAATAATATTGAACAGTGTAGTCAAATGTTGAAAACATTGAGAATTAAAAATGTATTGCTCATTGGAGCACTGTTTGAATTTCAGGTGAGAGGTTGTCTGAGGGTGAAGTGGATCAGTTGCTGGCAGGGCAAGAAGACACAAATGGTTGTATCAACTATGAGGGTAAGAGACAGTTACTCAAGACTTCCCTCTACTGACAAAATGAATGACTTGAAGTTTCTCATTGAAATTAATCTTATGTTCTTACTCCCAGCTTTTATAAAACATGTCATGGCGGCTGAGTGATCGTTTCTGGTAAGTTCTAAATCATCTAAATCAGGGCTATCAAATAAAAATAATGATTAAATAATGAAAAGAACTGATTTTATTTTTTCAGTTTTAATTATATGCATGAACTTATGGTGCGTCCACATGCTATGGAAAGTGCTTTTGTTGTCGTAATGTGGCAAAATAGGTGGAGATCCAGACCTGTCATTTAACTAAAACTATTTTAGGTTGCTTAAGTCATCTGCTACAGCAAGAAAATAATTTATCAAATCTCAAACGGTAAATAATATGCGGTTTATTTTCTAGATCATGAATAGTACATATTTTTTACCATTCACGACTCTCGCCTTGCTCTCTGCCATTTTGAAGAGGTCAAAGGTTATCTCAGCAACTCTTTCATCAAAATATTCTACGAGTGACCCAAGTGGAAAATACTGCATGAGGGGGTGTTCATGTGCATTGTCCATGTCGGCTTTTGGTATTTACCATAGTTACAATATCACGTGAACGCACCATTACAGAACTTCCATCGTGAACTCCTACAGAATCACAAAGCTCGGGAAGTCCTGATCTGAACTATAATATACTTTGCTGATACATTTTAGACTTTAATTTATTTTGCATCTTTTTCTGTTGGCCTAGGTACAGTGGCAGCCTCACATTGATGTTTGCAGAAGTAATCTGAAGGTCATGTGTGAGAATTGACATCAATAAAACAACATTTTTGTAAAATATTATATACAATGACTGATTAAATTCACTCTGTTCTTCAATCACCACTATGAAGCTGTTTTACAACACGATCTCATGAAAGTGCGTGTCTATACCACAAATTAAATTTCTCATGCTATTTATGGGTTATGCCAAAAATGATTTTGCCGTGCATATGCTACTCGTAAATCTCTTAGGATTAGGGCTGTGGAGTGCGTGCGTATTGCTCGCCAAAAAAGTACATATCATATGCATGCAAAAACTGTGTATACACGCAAAAACAATTTTTTGGCATACAAATGGCATGAAAAATGTAAAATTAAATTTGTGGGATAGATGCGCACTTTCATGAAAATGCAGGAGTCTGCTGTAAACTTAACTGCAAAGAGAATCAACACAGCTGTCGGCGGATAAAACGTTGTCTTTGGTGGGGCTTGTGCACTGGGTTTGCCTTAATCCCCAATGTCAGGAACTTTTCTCTGGCACATGTGATAAACCGAAACGCTTTGCCTTTGGACTCTCTCAAAGGGCTTTTCTAAGAAAAACCTTGTGCTAAAGCCAGGTGTTACATTCACTGTGTAGATTTACAGCATCTCACACTGAACAAATGGGCTTAGTGTCCAGTCAAGTTGGCCTAACTACTAGAAAGACATGAGCCAAGTGCAAAGTTATTTGTGAGTGTGTTGTGGGAAAAATAAGAAACCCTTTCTACTATCAAAAACATTTTGTCCATTTAAAAGGTTACATGCTATTTATTCATGGATCCATCAATGTCAATAAAGAGCCTTTATTTTAAGGGTCTGATCTGGTATTTCTTACATGGAGATCCATCTGATCTAATAAGCTGACATGTAGTTGCAAAGTTACTTATAGGCCATCAAAATAAAGCTTTTGCTAATATTAAGCAGACAGTCTACTAATAATGACTGTTGACTGTAACAAGGCTCAGGGAAGAAGGAAGCAGGAACCATCAGCGAACGTTCTGTGAGCTCATAGAAAGCAGCGCATGGCCGGATTGAATTCTTTTGCGCATCTTCTAACACTGTAATGTTTACATTTACAAGACTTAACCCCTAAACAAGCAAGAGTGGAAAATGAACAGCAAAAAATCATTTCAAGTCATTTTTTAATTTCATCTAGACTAGGGAAAATATTTTTTTTATTAGCACACATAAACAAGATTTTGCCGACAAAAGAAACACAGACGGATTTCACACTCATACATATTATAGGTTACACAAACTAAATCCATTAACGCATTTTTTCAAATCAATAAACCCACCTCTAAACCTACCTAACTCCTCCCCTCAGATCTGGATCCGACTCCACCCCCTGGATCTTGTGCACTGAAATGAGGTGCTACTGACAGCATGGCCCTCCAGGACTGAAGTTGCCCTGATCTAGACTTATTACATTCCTAAAGGGCACCTATCATGCAAAATTCACTTTTACATGGTGTTTGATCATAAATGTGTGTTGGCAGTGTGTGTAGCTACACAACGACCCTAGCCTGACTTCGTCATACTCATTCTAGTGAGAATATGAGTCTGAAACTCCTCCATAGCGCTTTGATTATGAGGCGTGTCATAACCGAACCAGGAAAAAAAAAACCTCTGCACTCAATTGGATAGTCGGTAGACCTACAACCAATCAGAGCAACGCAGTAAGTCAACTCCTTTGCATAGCGCAGTTTTCAACTATAGAGCTTACTTATTTTAGAAGTTACATAACGAGTGTTGCTTCTTTTACTTGGTCCTCCATGAGTGCGACCAAAGGAGAAACCACAACGACCACAGGCTTTTCATTACATCCCATCTTCTTAGCGACCATCGGAGCCAGCTGATATGTTACACTTTTGCCGAATCATGTAGGAAGGACGGCAAAAATATCTTTCCTATCGACAAATACCTTGATTCCAGTTTTCTGTTTGTCTGTTAAAATTAATGCGCTGTCGATTTATTTTACAACAGACGCGACAGCGGAATCTATACATCCCAATTCTCCAGCTGCAGTCAGGAAAACCAGTTAAGCGCTCTTTGATAACGTGATGATTACGTCCTTGCAGATCATCTGTCCATCATCGTATATAGCCCGCCCTGGCAATCTGATTGGCCCGATCATTTTTTGACTGATCATAATTTCTCCTCAATGGATCGAGTCCAGACCGGTTCGGGCTGGCATCCAGGCTACAACCACCCTATAATGATAAAAATCCACCCAGCAATGGCGTATTCATTAGGCTTGTTTGAAATGAGAAAAATCTGGTGATCAGCACGAGATGCATGCCGGTTTAGAAATGTGTCCGAGTGCTGTCCGCCTGGCTCTGATGTCAGTTGCTCTCCACCGACTGCGCTGATCAACAGCACGATGGGATGCGACTTGCTGACGACACAGCTTACTGCTCATTGGTTTAACCTGTTAACTGTCACCCCCCCTTTTTTGAATAGACATGAAAATGCACATTTCGAACTTAAATGGCTGTAATTCAAGAATGCTTTGGAATATAGACATATGATTGGTCTTGTTTTAAAGAAGACATTTGGCAGATTTTTGTAGAAGTGAAATAAATTAAGAAAGTGAAACAGAAAAATAGTTATAGAAGTTTGAGTTTATCGAAATGTACAATGTAAAAATATAAATTATTCATATTTTACATAAAATATATATTTTCAAAACCTGGGCTACTCTAAAATGTCAGAAAGATCAAAGCCAAAAATCTGAACAAGTTGTGTTTCAAATTTTAGGTTGATATCTCAAAAAATGAGCTTTCAGTAAGATTTTGTTTGAGCGCAGTACCAAACTTTTTCACTAGGGCACAATCAGACTCCATTACTGCCCATATAAGGGCGTCTGCATTTCCATTCGTGTTTTGAGTGATATGAACCATTATTTTCACAATTTTCATACAATTTCTGAAGTAGAGATCCTATTCAGAAGTAGCATGGGAAGTTTGACAGATTTTGATATGAATTGAACCTCTAAGAAACACATACAAAGAACACGCATGTAAGTCATAGCTATAGCTGCCACGTCACAAATGGTGAATTTATTATTTTTTTCTTGATATTTCAAATTTTTCAGACCTTTTTTTTCCAAAATAATTGAATGGATTCTATCTTTTGAACTTTTGGCATGAAAACAAACTGAGGTATCTACCATTTTTTCATGATTTTTCATGTTTAATGGTATTTTAAAATAAAGGTCTGAACACGCCTTATGAGTATGAAAATATTCTTGTTTTATATTGATAAATTATGGCTCCTCTGTAATATATTTTGAAAATATGTCACCAAATATGAAAACTAGAGATTGTAAGCTTTCAAATGATATATAGTTTGTCAATATTATTTAAGGTATTTACTAAGATATTATTGTTTTAAAAATATAGTGGCAAACGTCCCACCTGTGGGACGGTGACAGTTTAAACAAACGTGCTATTGTTCTCTTTTAAAATGTTTGATTTTAAAACTCTGATATCATGTTTTGTGTGTATACATATGTTATGAGTGAATAAACTCTCTGACAATGCAATATGGGTTATTATGTGATGTCATTTTTATTAAAACAATGTATAAACATGTCTGTATTAAAGAAAAAATGATTGATAAACACATATTTGGAATGTAATTAAATAACTATACTTTGGGTGTCATTATATTTCATCTAAAAGCAATATGGTAAGATTTAGATAAGAGATCAAACCATGGACGAAACCCTGGATAAAGACGCAGCCATGCAGTCCATTCCGGGAATGTGCCAACCCGAGGCTCCACCTCGCCAGACTATTTCAATTTTCGGAATATTCTGACAATTTCTTAAATGCTAAATAAAACAACATGTTAAAACGATGAAAATGACTTGATTTTACTTTCAATTCCTTTCTTCTGCAAAGTATCAACATTAACATTTTTCATAACTCCACGTAGGGTGTTTCTGTCCAAATGTAAGTACAGTGACAGTATCAATGCAATATTTAGAAAATATACTGTACTCTTGTACTCTTGATACTCAAGTAGGCTAGTTTTAAAAACAAGTACTTCAGTACTTAAGTAGATATCTGACTGTACTTGTACTTGTACAAGGGGTATCTTTACTTTTACTCAAGTAAAAAAGCAGATGTACTCTGTCCGCCTCTGATAATCTGTTCATAATTCATCATGTATTGGGACGCGTCAGAACAATGAGGGCGCCAGTCGGCTAGTCATAATTTCAAATTTTAAAGTCATAATTTTGATTTGGCAAATCCAGATTTTAACTTTTTATCTCATATGACTTTTTAAGTCATAATTTCAATTCAGTAAGTCGACTATTTATGTAATAGGCTTATTTCTTTTTTTCTAAGGCCTGGTGCGAATAAAGGGCTTCCATAGGAATGGACTTCCATAATAAGTCACGAGAAAGTTTATCATTATACTGAGATACTAATACATTATTATAAGACACTTTCCCAACATAATGAGAAACTAAGTCATAATTATGAGAAAGTTTCTCATTATTATGACTTAGTACAGATTTATATTTTTTGTGTTATTTTTTTGTGACTTACAGAATTATATTTAACTGTGGCGGAAACGGCATTCCATAGGAAAATAGATTATAATAGATATATATATATTTTTAATAGCAGCCCGACATGCATCGCGTCAAGCGTCGATTGGTCTGCTCGGCGTATAAAATGGACCAGCTGTCTTCCCGTACTGGTTGGGCCTTGTATGACAGGAGTTTGCGGGACTCATTTTTTTCCCCCCGAGTATGACGTGTCGTTTTCATGCACGGCTTTGAAATTATGTTGAACATGAAAGTTCAGATTTTTATGATAGCATTATTGATAAATTGGGAGTTTGTAATAACAGTAGCCCATCTTAACAGAAACGATGCGAAAATTGATACAAATCGAGTCACTGAGTCGCTTCTAAAAGCACAACAGTCTCCCGCAGACGGTGAGAGGATGTACTTGAGAAATGCTGAAACACGTGAAGATGATTGCGAACTTTATCTCAAACATTCAACGGCAGAATCGGCAGAA